CCCATAATGAACATTTAACAAACGCTGGTTGGCTGGAATGTAAATGATAGCTATTTTCAAGCATGTGAAGGGCTGTCATGTGGCAGAAGGGACTCAGTTTGGCTTCTTTGGCCGGAGAAAGCAAAACAAGAAGCAACGGAGTCCTACCAAATTCCTTTTATGACATAAATGTGGTGCTGATACCTAGACCAGAAAGAACAGAAACAGAGAAAGAAAATTGTAGACCAATTTCCCTAATGAATATTGATGCAAAAATGTTGAATAAAATACTAGATAGGAGATTACAGCAAGATATCACGAAGACCATATACTAAAACCAGGTGGTATTTATACCAGGAATGTAGGGCTGGTTCAATATTAGGAAAACAATCAGCATAATTGACCATATCAATATCAAAAAATCATATGATTATCTCAATAGATGCAGAAAAAACTTCTGACAAAATATCACACTTAATTATTTACACTCAATTAGTACTCCCAATCAGGGATTTTTATACATGCTTTAACTATATACCTGAGGATTTTTTCTTACTTATCATTGCTATAGATGCAGCTGTTTTGATGGAGAGTTGAATGATTTTCTAGGGTAACTAATTATTACCAAGCGCTGTGGTATAGTGGATGAAGCAATGGACTCAAGGAGACCTAAGTGTGATACATAAAATGCTGAGAGACATAGTTTCTGGGTAATTAATCACTTATTAATCATGTTAGCAGATAATTAATAGAAGGGGTCAGTGACACTCTTGAATGCCAAAGACCCCTCATAGAATCCACTCAACTTACACGCCCTTGGAAGAGTGAGTGTTCCTGAGGGTGGCAATTGACTATGATTGGTTAACAAGTAATGTGAAGAATATTATAATGAAAAATAATATTATAATGAAATAATATTATAAATTAAAAACACTAGAAAGAACATGTATAAGTGGAGCTTTCCTTAAAATGATAAGTAGTATCTACCTAAAACCACCAGCAAGCTTTATCTATAACGAGGATAAGCCTTCCCAACAAGATCTAGGGTGAAATAAGAACGCCCATTATCACCACTGTGATTCAGTACTATGCCAAAAACGCTAGCTATAGCAATAAGAAAAAGATTTTGAAAGAATTAGAAAAAGCAATGAAGAAACAAAACTATCATTCTTTGCAGATGATATGATAGTATAATTAGAGAACCCTAGAGAATCAACTAAAAATGTAGCTGAAACAATGAACAACTTTAGCAAAGTTGCAGTATATGAAATAAAACCACATAAATCATCAACATTTCTATATATTACCAACAAAATCCAGCAGCAAGAGATAGGGAAATTCCATTTTAAATGACTGTAGACAGTATAAAATACTTGGCATTCTACCTGCCAAGATAAACTCAGGAACTATAAGAACACAATTACAAAACACTTTTCACACAAATAAAGACAGATCTAAACAACTGGAGAAATATTATTACTCATGGGTAGGCTGAGCAAATATGATAAAAATGACAATTCAGTCTAATTTACTTATTCAGTGTCATGCCAATCAAACTACCAAAAATTATTTTATAAAGCTAGAAAAAACAATAACAAAATTCATCTGGAAAAATAAAAGATCAAGAATGTCAAGGGAACCAATGAAAAAAAATATTAAGGAAGATAGCCTAGCAGTACCAGATCTCAAGCTGAATTATGAAGTGGTAATCATGAAAACAATCTGGTACTGGCTAAGAAATAGAGTGCAGGATCAATGGAATAGATTAGGTATACAATACACAGTAGTAAGTGACCATAGTAATCTAGCATTTAATAAATACAAAGATCCAAGCTTTTGGGACAACAACTTGATATCTGACAAAAACTGCTGAGAGAAAAAGAAAGCAGTCTGGCAGAAAGTAGGTATAGACCAACATCTCACACTATATACCAAGATAAGGTCAAAATGAGTACATGATTTACACATAAAGGTTGATACCATAAGCAAATTAAGAGAGCATGGAATAGTTTATCTGTCAGATTTATGAATAAGGGAAGAACTTAGGACCAAAGAAGATAAAAAAAGCATTACAAAATATAAAATAGATAATTTTGGTTATATTAAATTTAAAAGTTTTTGCACAAACAAAACTAATGCAACCAAAATTATAAAGAAAGCAGAAAGGGGCAGCTAGGTGGCGCAGTGGATAGACCACTGGCCCTGAAGTCAGGAAGACCTGAGTTCAAATCTGGCCTCAGACCAAACACTTGACCCTTACTAGCTTGGGCAAGTCACTTAACCCCAATTGCCTAAAAAAAGAAAAAAAAAAGAAAAAAAAAGAAAGCAAAAATTGGGGAAATTTTTCACAAGTGTCTTTGATAAAGGCCTCATTTTTCAAATATATAGAGAACTGAATCAAATCTATGAAAATACAAGTCATTCCCCAATTGATAAATGGTCAAAGGACATTAACAGGAAGTTTTCAGACAAAGAAATCAAAGATATCTATAGTCATATGAAAAAATGCTCTAAATCATTATTGATTAAAAAAATTCAAATTAAAACAACACTTCACACCTATCAGATTGGCTAATATGACAGAAAAGGAAAATGATAAATGTTGGAGGGGATGTGGAAATGCACTGTTGCAAAAGCACACTAAAACAATATTGGTGGAGTTGTGAACTGATCCAACTATTCTGGAAGGAAATTTGAAACTACATCCAAAAGGCTATAAAAGCATTTGTATCCTTTGACTCAGCAACATCACTACTGGGTCTGTATCCCAAAGAGATCAAATAAAAAGGAAAAAGACCTATAAGTACAAAAATGTTTTTATTTATAGCAAAAATATTTATAGCAGCTCTTTTTCTGGTGGCAAAAAATTGGAAATTGAGAGGATACCCATCAATTGGGGAATTCCTGAACAAGTTGTAGCATATGATTATAATAGAATACTACTGTGTTGTAGGAGATGACAAGCAGAATAGTTTCAGAAAAACCTGGGAAGTCTAATATGAACTCATGCAAAGTGAAGTGAGCAGAACTAGGAGAACATTGTACATAGTAACAGCAATATTGTAATGATGGTCAACTGTAAAAGACTTAGCTACTCTGTTCAAGATAACGATCCAAGACAGTTTCAAAGGACTCATGAAGAAAAATCTTTCTATATCCAGAGAGAAAACTGATGAACTTTTGTGTGCAGATTGAAGTATAATTTTTCACTTTCTTTATTTTTCTTACTCCCTCCCCCCAACATGGCTAATATGGAAATGTTTTCATGATTTCATATGGACAATTTATATCCCTTTTTTTTTTTTGCCTTCTCAATGGGTGGGTGAGGGGAGGGAGGGAAGTAATCTGGAGCTCAAAATTTAAAATAAATGATTGTTAAGAAAAATAAATTAAAAAAAAAACCTACAACAACAACATAGAAGCAACAGATGAAAGCTATGAGTGGGGAAGATTTTGGCAGAGTATGAAATAAAAACTGCCTCCCGATTAGAACTGTATAATGAAAGGGACAGCTAGGTGGCATAGTGGATAGAGTAGTAGCCCTGGAGTCAGGAAGACTTCAAAGCTGACCTCAGATGTTTGCTAGGTGTGTGACCTTGGGCAAATCACTTAACCCTGTTTGCTTCAGTTTCTCATCTGCAGAATGAGCTGGAGAAGGAAATGGCACACCACTCCAGTATCTTTGCTAAAAAAACTCCAAATAGGGTCATGAAGAGTTGGACGTGACTGTAACAACTGAACAACAATAAAATATGGAAAAGGTTGTTCTTGGATGATTTCCTCATCGGATTCCTCATCACTGGAAAGTCTTTAAGTAGATGACCACTTGTCAGAAAATGCTGTAGTGGGGATGTCTGTCCATGTATACACTAGGCAAGATGATCCTCTCAGGTCTCTGCCAGCTCTATGAACAGTGATATGTTTACCCCAGTTTCTCTGATTCTGTCAGTCATCACTCTGGTGGGATTACAGGCTATCCCCTCTGGGTATATGGCTTCACGGTTTTTGTTTTTGTTTTTTAAGAAGAATTGCCTTTGTTCTCCAATTGGGGAAATTAGTCTGGCTTCTCAGGCCAAAGAGGCCAAATCGCATCTCTCCTTCCACATAGCAGCCCTTCACATACTTAAAAATAGCGATCATTTCAATTCAAGCCAACCAACCATTTCATAGGCTGGGGTAGGAAAGAGAAAGAAAGGGAAAATCTGCTTCATTTAAAAGGGACAAAGTTACATCCACGTGTTTTTTATTACTCTGACAGTACCATGCTACTTAGCTCAGCATCTTAAGATCATTATGCAACATCGGCCCCTAGCATCTTCAGAGGACTCCAGCCTCACATAGTCTTCCCTAGAACAACACTTTGCTTTCAAAACAAGCTGTGTTTACTTTTTTTTTTTGCCTCCAAGACCCACCCCATTATTTCTTTTCATCTCATGCCATCCTGAGGCAAGCTAGTCCTCTTAACAGTGTCAGTCTGGCTGTGGATGAGGCTGCAACATGAACAAAAAACATCAATGTGATACCCACCTTCTTCAATCTCCCACGTCAGGTTCTTAGATACTTTCCTGAGATGGAGCCCCTCTGAGATCTGGGGTTTCCTTATCACCTGCTCTGTGATATACTGCCTAACTGGGAGATTTGGAACTAGATGGCATATGGAAAGTGATGTGTGATTGAACAACGATTGCCTCATCCATGGGTTGACTGTAGGCGCCAGTGTTAATCTTATTAGTTGATTCTGTTCTCTGGCTACAATAAAAGGGTAAATATTTGTAAATTCTCTAATCTGTTTCAGCTGCTGCAATGGAATAATTTGATAAAACCAAGCAAACTTCCCCAAGATTAACAGAAGTTTATGACTGTGATAAGCAAATGAAACTTCCCCCTACAGTAGTCCGGCCGAGAGATAGGTCAAAAAAAATTTTTTTTTTCAAAAGGCTTATGCATCAGGAACTCCTGTCTGTCAAACCCTGATGATACAGAACAAGAAGTAACAGGTACGAGTTAATCAGCATACATACCTATCTGCATGACACTTCGAGCCTGGCTGGCTGTCTGCTGAGCTGAATGCCTCAGACAATTGCTCATAGGAGGAGAAGCTGCCTGGTGCTGGGGATGGGTCTGAGGTGCAGTGAGTGGAACAATGGGTCTGACAGTAGTGGCCGGGTTGGTCAGGCTTCCACCTCCTGGAAGAGCAGCTCCTGTCATCCCTTTAGCCAGCGGAGACCCTCCAGGAATACTATTTCGAGGCTGCCCAACTCCTCCTACAGGAACCCTGCGTAATAAAGCAGAATGGAATAAGGTGAAAGGATTCTGATGCAGACTTACCAGGCAGGTCATCTGCAGGGAGAAACACCATCAGTTCTTTGTAGGACCTAAAAGTAGAAGGTCATGTAAATGGTCCTGGAAGGTCTAGTCATGAAAACATTTTGAGAGAAATTTTCACACTCAAACAATGAATGCCCAGTGTTCATTCTTAGATGAGACCAGACCAATAAGACGGCTCTTAGAAAACTTTATGATGCCTCTGTTCTCAATAGGAATGCTCTGGAGAACATAACAGAGAAATGAACCTTTACCAAAAATGAATCAGGAAACACCAGAGTTTTGCTTTAGGGAAGAAAGCAAAGTCAAAAGAACGTTGGATTTGGAGTCAAAGGACCAACGTTCACAACCTAGCTTCTACAAATTACTACCTGTTATTGTGGACAAATCAATTCACCTTTCTGAGTCTCCATTGCCTTATGTATATGATATTTAGTTTAGACTGCATGGCCTCTAAAGTCCTTTCCAGTTCTATGATCCTAATTAATTCTTAAAATTAAACGAAAACAAAAACAAAAAACTCTGACCACATCTAGATGAAACTAATGACTCAGCTTCATCTGACCAGGATGTTTTATGGAAGGGATGGGGCAATCCAACAATTAGTTGATTCCGTCTGGACACATCCTTCATTCCATTTCCAAAGGCCTTTGACCAAAACTTCTGGAAATGGAACAGAGGACATTTCTGTGCCTTGATCAGGGATTTCAAGGGCTGTCGAATTTCAAGACCAGAAACTGATATTTTTTACATCAAAGTTTTAAAATGAAACTCAGTTGAAAGTGTTTAAGAAATGTAAAAGGAAGGAATAGGCAGAGCTACCTTCAAATATTCCTCCCTGTGCTAATTCCTTATGCTGTTCCTGGACACTTAATTGCAGGGATGTAGTGGATTCCTGGGTTTTCCAAAAGAAGCAGCTAGAGGAACCAGAAACATTATATCTGGTCCCAGGGACACTGAGGTGACAGCTAGTAGTTGGGGAAACATCTGTCTAATATTCAATCCCTAAACAGAATGGAGACAAATTGGAAAAGGGCTGTCTTGTGCCATGACAGTGACATACTCACAAGTGATGGTTTTGTAACATGGGGTCGAGGCTTCAATCAGAGAGAAGGTCCCTTGAGCCTGAATGTAATACTTCTGTTTAGTGGATATAGAAAAATAAAAGGTCTCATCAGTAAGCATTCAGCTGTCAAGATGGGATGGGGCTTTTCCTAAACCATTGTAACAGCTCCAAAAATTGCTCCTTATGAAGAACTTGGTCAGAAAACGAGCAAGGAATGCTGATTTGATTGCATCTGCTACCTGTCGAACTGGCTTTCATGCTAAGAGGAAACAAACAAAATAAAGTGGGCTGATGCATTATTGGTACTTATTTGCAAGACCACACTAAAAGTGCTTGAACGGCTTTGCTAAAACAGTGCATTTGAAGGAAAGTCAAAGCCTATTATTTATTCTAGCAGCACTGACAAGACTTCAGTGAGACACCAACAGAGAGGGAAACCTATAATAATAATAGGTGATATTTATATAGTATTTTATACTTTACAAAGAACTTCACATACTTAATCTCATTTGAACCTCCACTCTGTGAGATTGGTAATGTGGATATTATCTTCATTGTGTAGATGAAGAAATTGAATAAAAAGATTAAATGATTTTCCCATGAGCCATAAAACTGATCTGATAGAAGTGAATCTGTTTTGCATTAGGTTCTTTGAGAATGGTCCAGTGATGGAGCCTTCAAAATTTGCCTCATTGTGAGAAGAGTTCATGTAGCTTCTAGTAATTCACTGTACTTTCTTCTTCCTTTTTTCTAAACCCCCAAATTTAACTGAATGTGTATTCACTGAGCACTTCTATGTATCAGGGACTATGGTCAACACTGGGGATGCAGAGACAAAAGAAAAAAAAGAGGAAAAAAAACCAAATGGCTCATTCCTCTAAGGATCTTACATTCTACTGACTGGGCTTAAAGGTTATTGGAGTGTAAGAAACCCATAAAAACTTGAATAGGTTTTGGTATGATGGTTACTATGTGATTAAGGGTACATGTACAGAGATTCCTACCCCACCCTCCATCCCTTTACTCTTATATTTTTCTAAAAATGGATATAATTTTATGGCTATTCAAAAATTGTTTTCTGATTTTTTTTGGTTTTTATATCACTTTCATTTCTGAAAATGTCCCTCCTGATTCCCTATCCAGTGAATCACCCCTTGTAACTGAGAATTAAAAGAAAGAGAAAAAAGACAGTTCAGCAAAACTAACTAAGAAGTAAAGCAAGTCTGAAAGTATACACAATATTCTATATCTATAATGTCCTGCCTCTTCAAAGAAGGGAGGGAATGCATATTCTTATCTCTCCTTCAGAGGCCAATTGTAGTCATTATAATTTCACAGCACTTAGTTTTGTTTAAGGAATATTTTATAATTGTAATGTCTTGTGAGTACCTTGGTAGACTGACTCCCAGGCACATTTTTGTAATTATTTTAAATAGGAGTTCCTCTTCTATTATTTCCTACTGGATTTTGTTATTGCTATATAGCAGCAGTTCTTGAACTTTTTGGTATCAGGACCCCTTAACATTCTTTAAAATTACTTAGGACTCCAAAGACCTATTGTTTATATGACTTATATCTATTGATATTTACCATATTTGAAATAAAAACTGATAAATTTTAAAATGTTTATTTATTAAAAATAATAAACCCATCACATACAAACATAAAAAACATATTTTATGAAAAATAACTGTCAAAAGGAAAAAATTAGTAAGAAGAGTGACATTCTTTTACATATTTTTGCAAATCTCTTTAATGTCTGGCTTACCAAAAGACAGCTAGATTCTCATATCTGCTTCTTAATTCAATATGTTGTGATAGGTTATTGTGGTTGAATTATATGAAGAAAATCTGGCTTCATACAGATATGTAGTTAGAAAAGGAGGCAGTACTTTCACAAGTAAATTATATCAGTATTATTATGAAAATAGTCTTGACCTTGTTGCCCCCATGAAAGGGTTTGGGGAACTCTCAGGAGTCTACAGATGAAACTTGGAAAAGAAATGTATGATTTCCATGGATTTTTTTTTTTTGCATCCTGATATTTTCCCCAAGCTCTCATCTCTATTAATTTCTTTGCTGATTCTCTGAGTTTTCTAAGTAAATTGCCAGTTTGTAATCAGCAAAGACATTTTTATTGCCTCTTTGTCTTTGTTTATAGCTTTAATATCTTTTTCTTGTCTAGTTTCTATCACTTGTTGTTCTGTTGTTTTCAGTTGAGACGGGCTCTTTGTGATCTCATTTGGGGTTTTCTTGGAAAAGGTACTGGAATAGTTTGCCATTTTTTTCTCCAACTCATTTTACAGATGAAGAAACTGAGACAAAGAAGGTGAAGTAACTTGCCCAGGGTCACTTAGCTAGTAATTGTTTGAGGCCAGGTTTGAACTTAGGCAGATGAATCTTCTTGACTGTAGGCTTGGCACTCTAAACACTGTGATACCCAGCTGCCCAATTTGCTATTACTAACATATCTAAAACTACATTGAATAAAAATGGGAAAAGAAGACATCCTTGTTTTACTTCTGTATGTATTGTCTAAACTTCTAGTGCATGCCTCCTACAAATAATGCTAGCTTTTGTCTTTAGATATATTTCTTATCATATTAAGAATGGCCTCAATTGTATTCCTTTCAATCTTGTAACTTCAACTATTTTCTTTGGGAGCAGTAATTTCATCAGCTTGTGGAATAATTGATGAATTCCACAGAACTCATTCCACCTACTCAGATTATGACCCCTTTAAATTAAGAATTAGTAGCTGAATACTAAAAGATCATTGGAGGCACATAGAAATTGTTCAGAGTTACATAGCTAGGAATGTAAAAGATGAGATATGAATCCAGATCTTAACTCAAATTCTAGCACACTATCTACTAGTTTCTGCTGCCTCTTTTCTGATTATAATCAATAATAATAATAGCTAACATTTACATAGTGCTTATTATGTGTCAGGCACTTTACAAATATTTCATTTGATCTCATGACAATCCTGGAAGAGAGATGCTATTGTTATCCACACTTTACAGATGAGGAAACTTGCCCAGGGTTGCACAGCTAGTAAGTGTCCAAGCCATGGTCAGATTTTAACTGAGGTCTTCCTGACTTCAAGTCCAGCGCAGTGGTGCTACCTAAAATGCTGCTTATCCTAATCAGTTAGGAGTTAAAATGTCCCCTAAATAAATTGGAATGTTTTATGTTGTATAGGTGACATTTGGGGTGGTGGTGGTGGCATTTTTTATATGTTAAGGAATGATTCACTCCAAGAATACGAGAAAATCCTGCCTTGTGAAAGAAAAGAGAAAACAGTGAAAAGGATGAATGGAGCAAATGGAGACTTAACTTATGGTCTAAAAGCTGATTGACTGAAAAGCAGGGGACTGACCTTCTTGTTTGGGATTTTTCCCTGCAGGAAATCTATTTTCATAGTAGGGAAGAATCTTAAAGACTGATCCCAAGCTAAGGTTGATGGAGTGAGAGTACTATATCAACAATTAGTATGTTGAACTTAGTTCTGTGAGGGCTGTAATATAAGCTAGTTATGTAGTTTGCATTTGGAAAATAATTACCTTTATCTCTATGTACTATGGAAGGCAGTGTAGTATGGGGGTAGGAGGTGGTGGGAAATCACTGGATTCTAGAGGAAAACCAAAGGTCTAAGGTCACATCCTAGACCTGCTACTTAAAACCTATGGAATCTTAGAAGAATCACTTAAACACTCCAGGTTCCAGTTTCCTTCTCTAGGAATGAAAACATTGAATCTGATAATCACCAAAAAAGGGAGAAGAACAGAGACTACAGACTATAAGCTAGTGAGCTTGACTTCGATTCCTTTCCTTTTTATTTCCTTTTTTCGATAGGGTAACTAAACTAGGAAACGAGAGGA